TTGAGGCCAGTCATCTTTGTGTCAGCTTCGGCTAGTGTGGGTTTATTGTTAAATGAAATACCAAAGCACACTAGGGTGGAAACAGGATTTAAACATATAACTGCATTCTCTAATATTGGGGAACTTGGGGAACTCCTCTCAGGCTTTTAGTTAGCCTTTTTTTAAAAAAAATCTACTTCCCCTTTGAGATCACCTGTCTAGAATCAAATTACTTAAAGCAGTTGTACTGTACAGTGTTGGGTGCATATAGGTGATGAGAAGCGGAGCTCTTACGCTCCAGATCACCCAGTTTCATTAGAGGTGCCATCAACATTACAAAGAATCGAAACAAATGCCATGCCTTTAACACTCTGTCCCCCAAGACTTCAGTTTCTTCCCTTCCACGCAAATCCCTGGAAACCAGATCCTGATACTGATTGGCTATTACAGCTGCCTGTCCTCACAATTACATTTCTTCTTTGCCAACCTCTGTATATGGGCTAATTCACATATATGTCTATGGATTATATACAACACACATACACCCTAGCGATAGCAAGCTGACATTTATAGCTCTCTCAAACATTACATTAAAGCTCTCTCCTTGCTTACATTGTTACATCCTCTCTCCGGGTTCTAGTGCTGCTATTTTAGTTTGCTGAGTGACAAAAAAAAAAAAACATACCCTGGAGTTTTAGGAGGCACAGTTTTACATTTCTTTTTTGAAATATTCCTACACTCGGCTTGCTTACTTTATGGCAAAAAAAAAAAAAAATCAGAAATCAGATCTCTGTTTTTTGGGTTTTTTTCCTCCACTTCTGCATCTCTAAGATAAACTTAAGCTTGTGAAAAACAGCTGCCTCTCACTTCCTTAACTTCCAGGCTAATGATTTTTGTTGGTTAATAGATTAAATGTGGTTTCAGAGTAGGAATAAGACGTTTTCTTCTGACGCAGGACACAGTCTGGGATTACTTCATGACTTAGGAGTGGCTTTGCTGCGTGTTAGATTTCTTCTCAGTCTTTTTAGCCTCTTAACCTAAGGTTGTTTACTTTGAAAGTACATAGTGGATTTCCTTCTTATTCCTCCATAGGTTTCCTACTGACTAACATGTAAAATGCCAACACCCCTTCCCCCCACTTGTATAGGTTTTTGTATTTAATGACAGCATAACTTTTTCTACGAGTTTGATATTTAAATTCATTAATGACAAAAATAATGTGTGAAGAAATTATTTTTTGTAATGGCTAAATATACCATTACTTCTGTAAGCACTTAGAACTGAAAGCAGTTCAAAACATTTTCTCTGTTTAAAAAATCTCAGATGCTGTGAATTGGTGCTTAAGTGAAACTAAGAATTATTATTCTGAACTTTATTGCCATTATGTTAAGTGGGTCTGTTCAGTCAACAAAAAAATAGCCTTAGGGAATACAAGTTAAAACTTAATTCTGCATGGTATAAAAAGCTTGCATATTTGTAAAATTATTATTATTTTTAATATATTTTTGTATTGATTTCAGTGAGGAAGGGAGAGGGAGAGAGAGATAGAAACATCAATGTTGAGAGAGAATCATTGATCGGCTGCCTCCTGC